TATTCTGTCAGATTCCTGAAGAAAAAATACCTTTAAATTCTAATTTTTTTAGCATGGTAGAGCCTTAAGAAATCGTTGCGAAGGGGCCATCTTGGTACACCATGTTCACTTTTACAGAGTTGTTGTTAAACTTACCGTTCAAGTTAAGGTTGCATATTTTGTATTTATTTCAAACTGATGTAAAGGTATTGACATGTACAATTAAATCACTTATTTCTCAACATTTCTTTTTTTCATTTTCCAATGGTGAAAAATGGACATTTAAAATAAAAAAAGACCCATATATGGCCCGCTAAACAGATGACTGAAATGTATTTTTTATTGAAATTTTGCGAAAGTATAAATTATAATAGTTATTGCAAAAGATCTAGTCTTCTCGCAGTGTTAACGACGTTTCTGAATAAAATCTATTAGTTTTTTTTTCTGTATAAGGAAATGGATATTAAACTGCATATTGCTAGTAAACATACAACGATGATAGTTTGATAAAAATAGACAAGACACACGACAAACAAATAAAATAATTCGACTTACAAATATATATATAACCGAGAGGTTAATTTAAAAAAAAGGACCAAAATATCGTCCTCCATCTAAAATAGATTGGCAACGGTGTCGTCAGGTCACAAAAGACGCCCTTTCATCGTATTGTAAATATTGGTGTGAACGGGAAAAATCCGATAAAAAATCTCTTTATTCATATTTAAATAAATGTTTGAATGTTGTGGATATTCGAATATCACATTTTGAAAATAATTCAGAAATAAATTAAAGAGTACATAATACGCATATTTTTAGAATAAGAAACAAACTTCAAGTACTTTTAAAGCGGTTTGTGTTTGTACCGGCCGACAAAGCAACCAAAATGGGGTGGTGGTATGCCGTAAATACTACACAGACGTTCTTAAAAATGGAATTTTAATTTCTTCTACATTCAAGTCCGTGTGGTCCACAGAGAGTCATATAGTAAACAATCATATCATAACCACAAGACAGCTTAAGACCTCTTCTGAATATTTGAAGGTCCCTTCTATGTATTGGTTACCCAAACTACTAAATAAACTAGTTAAATATCGTTTCATCTCGGCCTCTAGTAAGTGTTCTACAACTAATCTTTCATTGCTTTTAACTAGTTCCTTAACTACTATTAAAGAACTGATCATTAACTTTTGTAATAAAATATATGAAAATAGTGGAATTAACTATTTTTGGAGTGTAAAAAAGTCTTTGGATGTTTTAGATAAACTACGTGCTTTTGGTAGTCATTTTGATTCTGTTGACAGTTTTGACTTTTCAACTCTTTACACTACACTTCCACACAATCTTATCAAATAAAAGTTTTTCAATTGATTACTAGTAAATGGTCGTTTGGTAAATCCGAATGCAAATATATTTGCTGCAACTCATTTAAAGCCTTCTTATCTAACAAGAAAGGTAAATCTGCTAGAAATACTTACTGGAGGTGTGATGAGATGATTGAAACCGTTAACTTTCTCCTAGATAATATTTATGTACGTTTCGGCAATAAAGTTTATCGACATGTTGTAAGTATTCCTATGGGCACCTATTGCGCCCTTTAATAGCAGACTTGTTCTTGTACTGTTATGAATTACATTTTATGACCAAACGTAGGAAAGACCCGTCAAAATTGCATTTAATTGATAAATTCAACAACACTTACCGTTATCTTGATGATATTTTTTCGTTAAATAATCAAGAATTTTCTAAATATACTGCCGAAATTTACCCACAGGAACTTACTTTAAATTAATCAAATATAAACGGTAATAACTGTTCTTTCCTAGATTTAGATATTCCAGTTTTACACGGGAAACTCTACACTAAATTTACGACAAAAGGGACGATATTTCGTTCCCTATTGTTAATTATCCTTTTTTGGACGATGGTGTTCCTTTGGCACCATCTTACGGTTTTTATATATCACAACTCGTTCGCTATGCCCGTGTCTTTTGTGACGTTTTGGATTTGTAAATTATTAAGTCAGGGATTTTGTTACCACAAATTACTTAAAACCTTTACTATATCCTTCCATAGATATAAAGATTTGGTTTTGAAGTTTGGTCGTACCTGTAGAAAACTTATTTCAAACGGGATAGCACATCCTAATTTTTACGGAGATGTTATTTACGGAGCCCGGAAATTTAGAAACGATCCGGGTAAAGTTATCGATCCTTTAAATAAACTTATTCTAAAATGTTACCAATTCAACACTGTAGTTAGATCTTTGAATATTGCTTTAATTGGTATTAACATTGATTTGGTTATTAATAAATTGAAATCAAACTAAATATTAATTTTATATACATATGCACATTCATGGCTCTACAATTTGTCGATACCTGTATCTTGGCATTGCACAAGGTCATGTTTTTTCTGTGACTGTTAATGACGTCTTTACACTAAATCCATTGGATGTTGGATGTGTACTGATAGATATTTTAGTCTTAGATGCATGATTTTTTTTATAAGTTGTTATTAGCTGTCAGTAACTGCGAGTACTCTCAGATCTGTACTTTTTGTTGTAGGGATGTATAAGTACCCTGCCACGTCCACTATGTGTTTTGTTAGATGTGTTTATCTTTGTATCCATCTGATGAGTTAAGCCTTTTTCAACTAATTTTTGTAGTTTGTTCTTATGTTGGTCTGAAAAACCACTGTCTCATGTGTTGTACTGTTACACCACTATCCCAGGTTAGGGGGAGGGTTGGTGCCTTCAAAAATGTTTAAACGCGCCACATTCTGTATGTGCCTGTCCCAAGTCAGGAGCCTGTAATTCAGTGGTTGTCGTTTGTTGCTGTGTAACATATTTGTTTTTCGTTCATTGGTTTGAACATAAATTAGGCGGTTAGTTTTCTCGTTTGAATTGTTTTACATTTGTCATTTCGGGGCCTTTCATAGCTGACTATGCGGTATGAGTTTCGCCAATTGTTGAAGGCCGTACGATGAACTATAGTTGGTAATTTCTGGGGTAATTGGTCTCTTGTGGAGAGTTGTCTCATTGACAATCATACCACATCTCATTATCTTTAAATATATCCGTTAATTGAGTCCCTGTTGGATGTAAAGTAACGTTTCGGATGCAAACTAATCCACTCTAGTCCGGGATGTCCTTCAAAACATCTTAAAAAAACCTATGGTCTATATCATATTGCCTCCGGTGCAGACCATATTGTTTTGGAAAATTCACTACCACAGTTCTGATTTAATACAGACACTTTGGATATAGTTGGTGGCAAAAATCAGGATTTTGGAGGTGCGTCTAATCTCTAAGTATAAGCCATCATTTATCACAGTTAAATCATATTTATATGATTTATGCTTACAGACTACTTTTTACTAGAATAGCCCTAGCAAGAAAAGGTCGACATCAAAAGTTTGCCAAACAGATGAAAGGGTTGAGAACACACAACGAAGAGATTCTAATCCGTCTTAGACTAAGTCTAAGTAACTACCCTTTTGGAGTAATGCCCTGGTTTTTGGTGGGGTTCAATCTTACGTTTGCCTTACACGTTGTTTATGTTGGTTGCCTTTTCGCAATTTTAATTTGGCCATGATGTTGTCAGTTTTTATTTGACTTATGATTCTTGATTTCTACCTTCGTATTTTCACTCTCTCTTTCACCTCTGTCCGAAAAGTCGATCTCTTCAGAGTACATGATGTTATTTGCTAGAAATTGGGATAATGACAATGCAGAAAAACACGTGTTACGGGGGTAGAATGCACCTTGTGTCTGATAGCTTTGACAGTCAATTCAGTTTCGATAATGATTTGTCCTTGATGTCAAATATCAATGAAGTCAATGTCATTGATGGAAGTGGCTGTTTATTTGAAATTGTTTGCTTTGATAAGATAAGGTTAGATAAGAAAACTTTATTTCAATTCGGTATAAATCAAATATCCAACACAAGTTCTATGGAGCTTTTGACCGAATATATTAAAACATATAAATAACATAAAAACAGTCCAAGATATAAAGTACCTGCAATATAAAATTAGAATCTCACACATAGTATGCAAGAAAATTAAGCAGCAAAATTAAAATGAAGTAAAGCATTTATCAATATGATTTACCTCTTTAAAAGTTTTAAAAATTTAGATTAAAATATGGTAACAATTTAGATAAATAGATTTTTATAAAAATCAAATAAAATGTTTTGAACTATAATATATTCTTCGAGATCTAGAAATTTCAAAGAACAAAATATTTTCAACCTGCATTGCATTGATTACCTAATTTCTGGAAAGATGTGTCAAAAACTAAAATTTAAAATATATATAAAAATTAATGAAGAAATATATTTATACAGCTCTAAAAAAAGAAGACAATACAACCGTTAAAGACAACTTGTTTTCTTTTGTGTTATTTGTTTTAAATATGACTTAAAAAGGAGAGGCGGAAGATACCATAGGTCCATTCAAACTCATAAGTCGAAAATAAACTGACAACGCCATGGCTAAAAAAAAAAGACCAACAGACTAACAATAGTACACAAAACACAACATAGAAAACTTAAGACTGAGCAATGCGAATCCCACCTAAAACTGGGGATGATAAAGATACTGCGAGTACTCTCAGATCTGTACTGTGTGTCTTTTATGTTTTTGTTATTTTTTGTGTGTGCTTTGTATCGATCTGATGAGTTCAGCCCTTTTCAACTGATTTCATAGTCTGTTGTATATTTCGTATGTACTTCTTATGCTGTACTATAACACTACTGTCCCAGGTTAGGCGGAGGGTTTGGCGCCGTTTAACCCGGCCTGATTCTTTAAATCGTATAACCAATATTTGCTCTGGATTTTTATGACCATCTTTTAACTATCAATGTTCTTCTTTTTTATTATTTTCTTAACAAACCCATCATGAAGTGTGGTTATTATAATGACTGTACTTAAATGTGACAGTTTTTTCATCTAACTGTCATCTCTTTTTCAAAAGTGATGTATTTTTTATTTTGACTCAATACTCAATATATTTTTAGCCATGGTAACACAGATCAAAATGCTTCTTCTACGTGGTCTAAAGACAAGTGTTTGACCATAACGTTTGCCGTTGTCCTGTTTATAATGGCACTTGGAACTGGCTACATTTCCAGAGTTGCCCTGCACATAATGATATGGCATATTGGTCCGCCGATGGATTTGAATAACAACATATCACGTCTTAGTACTCTAAATGGATGGTTGAAACCTAATTGTTCCACCTGCAACGATACAACGTTTCAAACTGATATGACCATTAAAGGAACTTGGACCTGGGCAATATTTTTAGTCATTATAACACCTTATGTTTTTACGATTTTGAAATGTCTTTTTCAAATCTGCTTTAAGAGTAACAAACAGCAGGCAAACAAAGAGAAGGCAAACAAAGAAAAGACAAACAAAGAGGAGAAGACAAACGAAGAAGAGAAGACAAATGAAGAGGAGAAGACAAATGTAGAAGAGAAGACAAACAAAGAGGAGAAAACAAACGAAGAAGAGAAGACAATCAAAAAGGAGAAGACAAACGAAGAAGAGAAGGCAAATGAAGAGGAGAAGAAAAACGAAGAAGAGAAGACAAACAAAAAGGCGAAGTCAAATGAAGAAGAGAAGACAATCAAAGAGGAGAAGACAAACAAAAAGGAGAAGACAAACAAAAAGGCGAAGTCAAATGAAGAGGAGAAGACAATCAAAAAGGAGAAGATAAACAAAGAAGAGAAGACAAATGAAAAGGAAAAGACAAACGAAAAGGCGAAAACAAATGAAGAGGAGACAAACGAAGAAGAGAAGACAAACGAAGAGAAGAAGATAAATGAAGAGGGGAAGACAAATGAAGAAGAGATGGCAAACGAACAGAAGACAAGCAAAGAAAAGAAAAAAGGAAAGAAGAAAATAAACGAAGAGGAGAAACCAAACGGAGAAGAGAAGACAAACGAGGAGGAGAAGACAAACGAAAAGGAGAAGACAAACAAAGAGAAGACAAACGAAAAGAAGACCAACGAAGAGCAGGCGTTTAATAAAAAAACGTTTTTGTTGGTAAGTAAAAATTAAGAGATACAATTTTCAATCATCAGCAGACCGTAAAGTACATAAGAAATCAAACAAAATCAATATATAACAGGATTTCGCGTGCATGTCACGTGGCAACCAGAATCCATGTTACAACTTTTAGTTTTAGATACATGATTTTTTCATTAGTTGTTATTGGCTTTGAACAAGTTTTCAGTAATTGAGTGTACTCTTAGATCTGTTTATCATATATTTTTTCATTTATTGTTTTTTTTTTTACATTTATAATCAGGCCGCTAGTTTTCTCGTTGAATTATTTTACATTTGTCATTGCGGGTTAAAAATCAATAATTTTGAATACTATATATATTATAAAGCAGATGACTTAAAAATTCCGCGAACCTGCATTTTATCATGACATTATAGATAATTTGAAATCAGCATTGTATGATTACTTTTGCCGGTAGACCCTTTAAGCTCTTATGAATCTTTTGTTTTACGTACGTGCATGAAATATGCAAAGGCAAAAATTGTGTGCCGTGCTTAATTTTACTTTTTCGTTTTTACTAATTAACGTTTATAAATATAGATCTTTCTTTTGACCTCTTTGTCTGATGAAAAAACAGTTTCCGTTGATTGGACACATTCTTTAATGGGCTGTTTATAAAATGAAAGTTGATAGAGCATAATATGTTAATGTATTTTACTACGAGCAACAAGTGCAGACAAGTAGAAGATCACGTGTTAATCTATGATTAAAGTCATATGAAACGAGTTTCTTGTAATATAACTATTATCAAACTTACTGAACCAATGCATGCATATATGCTAAACTAGTCCAGTATGCACTTTTTTTTTAACATTTATTACAAATCTATAACGTATTATCGATAAATAATATATCGCAAGTTTATTAACTTTCAAGATTGTTTCCGAAGTTTATCGGATCTTCACATTGGTAAGCAATCAATACAGAGCATGTGGAGCATGTAAAAAAATAATTGAACTGAGTCATGATATTTTTTTTTTATATTTCCCAAGCACTCCTATTTGTCAGTTAAAATTTTCCTTAACAGTTGTTAAGTGATTTGATGTGTTTAATATATTCTTAAAAATCAGTTATTACTATTTACCTTTCAGTGCACGTTTGTTTACAAACTTTCATCACGCCCATCTCCCCTTTCATCACGCCCATCATATTCAACTTGAAAAAAAAATGTGACTTTACCCAATAAACTTAATTGAATTTTGATACTACAAAATAGGAAATACAACACTACCAAAATAAGACTCACACAATATTTTATTTATATATCTTTCAGATGACGTTGACAGAGGTTATTCATACAGTTGGACTTTATATTTTAGTTTTCTTTGTCCTACCGTTGTTTGATCCGATTTTAGCGTCTGTTGTTTACATGGCAACCTCTTTTTTAACACCATTCATTAATTTTGGAAGCATCATATATCGTGTATGTATAAGAACAGATAGAGACTTGGAGATTCTACGTGACATAAGCGGCATTTTCGGGATGATACTTCAAATAGCCGGAATAACAATGCTAGCAATTTACTTAAATGACGGTTTAATGATCGGCCTCGTTTTGATTGGAGTCATTTTGGTGTCTTTTAAACACTGGGAAAATTTTGAAGTTGATGACGAAGCTTCCTCCTGTATCTTGAAACTCCAGAATCCACGACCAAAGGAGACGTGCTTAGTATATGTTTTCAAGGTCATTTGTACATTCGTAACAGTTATTTTCATCTTTGCAATAAAGAATAATGATTCAACAGCAGGTGTTAAGTCGTTATTCGACATAGGACAGTCTACCGAGATAGCTATTTTTGAAGGACATACACTAGACCGTACCTGCCAGTTTCATATTCCGTTTATTCTATCTGCAATTATAATGATATGCGACTTTTTATGTTACACATCAACAAAACTTGCTTGCACAATAAACTGCCAAAAAGTATGTTTTGTAATTCCGTTGCTTTTATTGCCGCTGTTAACAACAGGTACACTTCCCGTAGCTATGATTTATCCAGATATGTTAAAAATTGGATCCTGTGTTTTACTTTTCCATGACTGGTGTTTGAACTCTGGGTCCATGTACGACTTGTGGATGTTACTTGCTGCTTTTCTTGTATTGTATTCCTCAATTATTTGCATCACGGTACCCATATGGAAAGATAGTGGTAAAACAGGAAGAACAGGCGGGTGAGGAAACCAACTGTCTTATTTTTTTAATAGGTGGAAACAAATACAGTAGATAGATTTATTTGACAAATTTGGTAATATTTTGATTTCCTCATCAGCATTTCAAATTTTTAATGCAATAATTTTCAATTTCTGTTACGTTTTAAAGCTGACAAAATATCCATAACTTAAGCTTAAACCTCTTGCTGCCGGAGTGACACATGTGTTCATATCTTAGCTGTTCATTACCGTATATCTTTCAGATAAAACATTGTTGATTATTCATTGTAATATTTTACCTCAAAATGTCTCCAATGTAACGCTACAAGGACGTAACGTTATATATCGAAGTAAATGGGAAGATTTGATATGATAAAACAAAAAGCTAGTTTTGCAATTGGGCCTATATCCCAGTGAGCAGAACAAAAACTTAAAAACCTTAACTTTGTATATTGATATGCCAAAAAACAGAATATTTTTTTGTAGTTTATATTTTTGATTGCTTGATTGATTGTTAGTATCGCCACTTTCATCACTATTGGCCATTCGTGGCGATCAGTGTTAATTGGTGGAAGAAGGTAGAGTGCCCGAAGAAAACCGCCGACCTGCGAAAGGGAAAACTGACCATCCTACACTTATTTAATTAAGGTTAGAATCGAACGCACCTGCCATGTGAGAGGCTAGTGATACAGTGATTGGACTACTTAGACCACTTGGCCACCGTGGCCCCCGTTTATTTTTTTGAGATTGATTATATGTTTTTTACATTTTATTTACAAAACAGTTCTGACATCAGAAGTAAATTAACGCATGAATTTGTTTTTGTAGTGTCTTTATTGCTCCTTTCTACTTATTTTTTGGAATTGTCACTTCTAAAAAATCGGAGACGAAGTTACAAATACGTGGATAAATATGGTAAAATCATCAAAAAAATCAACACGTATGATTCCCAGGTATGTAAGGTATATATTATGTTAGAAATAATCAATGCAAGCCATAGATTTGTTTTAAATTTTCACATGACCTAGCTAAGGCGTTATATTCGAAATTATCAAGAGCGATAGCTTGGACGTTATTTACCGTCACATCGATAGTTGACTTGCTGAAATCCATCAATGTCTGAAAAATGCAATAGAATAGAATAGAAAATAAAAAAAAACCTACATTAAAGCTACATTTTAATGAGATGTTTTTCGAATTTGGAGTGTACAAGTAACGGCATAATCTTCAAGTTCAGCTTGAGAGTTTACATTCCTATGACGTCTTGTCAGATCGTTCATGAAATTTCGCGGAATTCTATTCTTTTTAATTGTATACATTTCTCCAGGCTCTAATGCATCAATTCTTTTGTGTTATGCATTCGAATAGGTATAACAGTTCCGCAGTCCGCAGTTTTTTTTTTTTCAATTTCAATTTCAACATAGCGAAATCGACGAAGTGTTTGCATACAGATTAATATATATGTGGATTACGTTTGGGGTAAACTGTAACAGTCGTAAATATGTACATCATCTATGAGTCTGCGCTAAGTATAGCTATATCGAGAATTTTATCATGCTGTTGTTTACAACGCGTAAAAGCACATCATATTAGAATTGAGAGCTATTTGAATCATGAAAAAAATAAGCACAAGTTTAAATATCATAAGTCTAACAATTATTTTGACGAATATCTGGAGAATTTGTGTATTGCTCAATGGAATTTTCCTCGTTGGCTTAATCACCTCTAGATCTGCAACGTTTTTATAAGATATTGGATTTTCTTATCATTTCATACATGTATAATGTTTATCTCTATGAAAAAAATCCCAAACAAAACAAAACAAAACAAAACCAAAACATAGAAGACGAGTTTACAATGTTACATGCACTTCGTAAATACTCTTATATACCATTTTATTTGAAGAACTCTGAGAGCAAATCAATTTTGTGCGTATGCTGTGCCACAATGTGGCATGAAGAAGATTATGAGATGTTACAACTTATAAAATCCATCATGAGGTAAAATTAATGTATGATGATTACATCTTTGAAATCATTTGTGAGGTAAATGTATGATGATAAAATCTGCGGAATCAACATTTTACATTATATATCCATCTTTTCAAATCAATTGTCATGCAGAAATGGAAAGAATATCTGTGAGAGAATTGAGATTATCGTACATCGGACAAACGTTTAAGAAATTTATTTATGAAGTATTTTGCATAACAAGAAAGAAAACAAATAGAAATCCAAAAATACCCCCGCCCCCCACCCCCGTAAAAATACACCAAAACCAAAAGCAAACCAAAATAAAATTTATTTTGTAAAAGATAACATTTCCTTTTAGAGTTGTATAACGTTATGTTTGAACTACTGTGGATTCATTTATTTTCGTGGTTATCAATTTTCGTGGATTGAGGAAAACTTACATTTTCGTTGATACTTGAAATCGTGGTTTGCCGATTTCTGTGAACAAAGCCTATAGACAGTGTGTAATTCGTTGAACATATGAATTCGTGGTTCAACTGTACCCACGAAACCCACGAAAATTGGTACCCAACGAATAATAATGAATCCACAGTATACAACGTTATTTTTGAACTACTAGAAAAATTGAGCAACAACATCGACCCTGTTGAAATGTGATGTTTGGTGTGTTTGAGCTTTTGATTTTGCCATTTGTTAAGGGACTTACCGTTTTGAATTTTCTTTGCAGTTCGGTATTTTTGTTATTTTCCTTTTTTCCATAGTTCAATGCTGCCTGTGAGAGAGCTTTCACATGTTTATTATAGAAGGCCGTACTTTGATCTATAATTGTTAACTTTTTATACATTGTGACTAGGATGGAGAGTTGTCTCATTGGCACTAATACCACATCTTCTTATTTATAATCAATGCACGTGCTTCGGGAAAAATCTATAATTGTTATGTATTGTATTGTTATGATCAAAGTGTATGGCTAAACACGTTAAAGATCCGTCTCAATTGTATTATATTGATAAATTTTAAAATACTAACCGTTACCTTGATCATATTTGTGCTTTAATCAAGAATTTTTTAATTTCTAATTTTACTGCGATAATTTTAACCAAGGTATCTTACTTTAAATAAATGAAATACAAACAGCGTTGTTGAAGGCCCTACTGTGCCTTATAATTGCTAACATCCACGTCGTTTGAACACTGGTGGTTAGTAGCCTCATTGTTAATCATGCCACATCTTCTTATCATTATATTTTTAGGCACAATCTGATCTAAAATATCTTACGAGAATTGATACTTGTAAGTCACGAACATATCAGTATATAAAGTCATTATTTGTCGTAGGATTTTATTTTACTGAAAAAAGCAACAGTATCTATAGGTCATGAGTTCTTATGTATGAAATGAACATATAGGCATTATTAAAAATGCATTTGTTATGAAGAAATTGAGAGTATCATACAGAAATTTAAAATAATTTTTTTAATCGTGCTCAACTTTAATTTAGACACTAGTGACTAGATATTGGTCAGGACTATTTTCTGAATTTTTCTAGTAATGTTTTATGCTTTTTTTCTTAAAGGATACACTTTATTTTTTAAGTTTAGGCAAAAGGCACAGCGAAAACAAAGACAATACTGACGAAACAAAAAATGCCGACATATTTACTCTTCAAGGTAATCTGTAACAATTTTATGTTTTAATTTTGCAGTTTGTTTCTAACTTATGCACATATTAAAAGATTTGGTCCAGCTTTGTTTGATTAAAGCGTTAATATAGCTTTCATATCTTGGTTTATAAAGGTCAATTGACATTCCGATAGAAACTAATTATGATCCTCTTCTTGCCAACTGGCTTCCTTTTTCGTATTGGAGATTCTCAATAGGGACTGACAATACACTTCTATTTGCTCAATTTATGCTTTAACTGGTCGACCAAAAGTTGTTTTGTAACTATTTGATTGGCTTGACAGACATAGCAAATACGATTACGTCTGCTTTAAATATTTGCTTACATCTCGAAATTGACAACAAAAGGTTGTTTAAGAAATAAATCTTTGGAAATTTCATTTTATAAATTTCCATTTTCTATAGCAACATTCTGAAGAAACGTATTGAAAGAACTAGTCTATACTAATAATTTTGTTAATTCATTCAGTGATAAATTTTCTGTACAAGCTAAATATACAGTACAAACTCTGGTAAAATACTGGTTGTTGTATCTACGTACACTCAACATCTCTTTTCATTGATACCACGGAGATGTTTTTGACATAGTGTCATTTGTTTAAACAATATTTATGTTTTAGCTAACATTTTCTTTGATGAAGCTTTCATTGAGAAGGATGATGCCGAAGAGCATCCTAACATAAATCACTATGTGGAAACATTCATCAAAATGGTCAAAAAAGCTGCAGAGTAGGTATACAAATACAAACGTATTAATCCTCCAATCGCGAAATAGTATATTAGTTTACTTCCATGTCACAGATTCCTATATAAAATATTTTTCCATTTGGTTTAATTTAGATATATAATTTGAACTATTTAGTCAAGCTATAATCATAGTAAATTTTGTTTATAATCGCTATAGTTAAGAGAATTATATTTTTTCATATATTATTATGTATTATTATGTATTATTCAGAGAAACCTTCATATTTTATAGTATAAACGGTATGCATGGTATCAATACTATATAGATCTTATTATAATCAGTTGTCGTAAAATATTAATTATTCTAATATGACGTTCTTCTTTCGCTTTTGGAAACAAAGCCATGTTCTAATTCCAATAAAACGGGCTGCACGTGATTGACGTCACAATTGAAATTGCAACGTCAGCTGTGTTTTGAACAACGGCTGAAATCAAAATGGAATTTATTTTGGTGTTGCTCGCTTGGAAATTAAATAAAATCATTCTAAAAGTAAGTTTACATGTATCTGTCCATTTGTTTATCGTGAAACGGTTGATTTTCTATAAAGTTTTGGCTTCATCAAAACAAAATGGATGCCTTTTAAACGTTAATTATAGGTCCGCTTCGAAGTGCAAAAGTTCTAAATTTTCCTATTAGAATCGAAATAATTCTATCATGCCATGCTCTATGCTAAAGCTCGGTATAAAGATATTGACAAATATAATGCCTATCCATGTTAAAATGAGCATAGAGCATGGCATGAAAGAATTATTTCTTAATTAGAAACTCAGTATGTTTAAACAAAAAGGATACCCCCAAAGCATCATTAATTTGCCATGTTCAAGCCAAACAATGTTGATTAGAATAGGACATAAATTTCTGTTTTTTCTTAAAAGTAAAATAACAAAAATGCAGAGCTCCATGGAAAATTCATAACGAAAAGTCCATTAACAAATAGCAAAACCAAAAGCTGAAACACATCAAACGAATGGAAATCAACTGTAATATTTCTGACTTGGTACAGGCATTTCATGTAGAAAACAGAGAATTAAACATGGTTTTTTAGCTAGCTAAACCTCTCACTTGCATGATAGTCAATTCCATTATATTGACCACAATGACCGAGCAAAACAAACAGACAACATAGGTAAAAATGGCAAAAAAATGGGGTACAACAGTCATCATTGTGTTATAATCTTAATCGACACATGTATTAAGCAGATGTTTAGATCTGAATGTTATATATATTCCAGAGAATTAATTGGGGAGAACTACAATGAAGATTATGTGAAAAAACTAACGCCTTATGGATCTAGATTAGAGTGGACTCTCCCATGTAAAAACAAATTACATGTCCATCTGAAGGATACAAATAAAATCAGATATAAAAAACGATGGAGTCAGGTAAAGAAGTGTTAGGTTTTGATAAAGGAGAAATTATCAATGTAATTGATAAAAAAAGTGAATAGTTTTTTTTTATTTGAAAATGCTTGAATAATTGAGTAAAAGGAACTGCTGGTCTAAAATATTAACTATTACGATAAGGGACATTTACTTGATTATAAAATCAAGGTGATGACCTGCAGTACTGAACAATATCGTTGGTGATTCTTGAAATCTTTTTTGTGCAACAAAGTTTTCCTATTAAAAATAACTATACTATCACAATCATGCGATACGTTTTTTTGTAAGATTCATACCAAATCTCGGGAAATCCAATAATTTAATACAAAGAGAGGTCGCACAACGTTATGTATATATATAGGTCTCTGAGATACACACACATATGGAATACATTCGCTTTTTTAGTACAATGAAAAAACAGAGAAGGCTAACACCAAGTTATTTGACATCCAAGCGCACAACATCATTTTTTAAAGTAACGTTCATGAGATCAGTTCCAAACTAAGGTCTAAAAACTATAATATAAAAAGTATTGAAGAGCATTAATAAAGAAGCCAAAACTGTCAACATTGCCTGAGCAGTTTTAACATACGCTTTAGCACAATTACATTATTTTATGAGCTTGAAATTTACACAAAATTATAGCATTTGAATCATTCTTGTACCTGATCCCTGGCAAATAGTCCCCTGGAAGAAATAACTCATTGTAAGCGGTACTTACCCAGTCCTCGCAATTAATCATATGTTGCTTGATTAATGTGTGGACATGTGTTCTGGAATCATTTTATACTTTAATCTTTGACCTAAATTTATTAAAAATATAATGTAGTTGCGAAATTTTCATACATGTTTTTCAAACTCTGGAGAGCACCTGAGATCACCCCAAGTTTTTGGTGGGGATCGTGTTACTTAGTCTTTAGTTTTCTATGTTGTGTCATCTGTACTATTAGGTGTCTGTTTGTCTTTTTATTTTTGGCCATGGCGTTGTCAGTTTGTTTTCGATCTATGGGTTTGACTGTCCCTCTGGTATCTTTCGTCCCTCTTTTATATCATTATTGAAATCGGAAACTTTTCATTGCATATATCACAAAGTGAATTTAGACGGTTTACAAAAATGTTGTGCCGTAAACAGACAACCGTTTAAATTCCGTGTCTTCATTGTCATGACGCTTGGTTCTATTGTACGATTTTCATTTGTGCAATTTCCGAACATTGGTTACGTACATATCAGGTTCATGCACTAAACACGAAAGATCGTGATTTCGTCTTCGTAGCAAAGTGGACGTACATAGACCTGAATCAATGCAATGTAACAGTCGGTCTGGTGTATCTTTCTTTGTTTCAAAGATTGTTGCTTCATTTGTTAGTGAAATAGACATTGATAGTGACAGAATCATATGCATCGAAGTAAGCTTACCTAATGTACCAACTTTTATTGTTCTATCGATTTACCTACCTGCAGCAACACACCCTCATCAAATGTTTCAGTATAATGTCGAACTTTATCATGAAATTTCTTCTGAATATAAGAATATTGGAACGGTTATATTAATGGGCGATCTTAATACAAAGATTCAAGGACCACGTTATAAGTTTAAACCCGATGAAAAAAGTAGAATTATGTATTCCTTAACCGAAGACTACAAACTGTTTTCAGTTAATATGCAAATGTTTTGCAAAGGGCTAGTGACTACAATTTAATCACATGACGGTGGTCCGTCCACTTGTATTGATCATATTCTTATGCCACTATCTGAAATCGAACGGTTTTAAATGCAGAAGTTATAGACAACCATGCTTTTTTCTGTATTTGACCATCGCATGATATTCTTTTCTGAATCATTAGAAAACTCAGTTTCTACTTGCACCAAAAGTCATAATATTACATCTTCTGTTTCGTGGTATCGTGCCCGCAAATATGATTCCAAAATGACCATTCGTTTGCAGTATCACAAATCATGTGTACAGTTGAATTTCCTAAAGACATGATTAACCCATCCATCATTGAAGAGTACTGCAACAAAAAAGTGTCTGCAATTAATGACGCGGAGAACGAAACATTACCTTATTCTGTATTTAAGCAATCTTGAAGCCGTATTGGAACAAACGTCTCTCGCACTTGCACGACTTGCTTGTTAAGCGAATTTAGTGGATAAACAGTTGTAACTGTCATGACATCTACTGTGATGTGTTTCATCGTAACAACTAGGCAAACAAGAACTTTCGTGACGCTCTTAGAACTGAAATTGATGAGAATGAACGTTCGATTGCGTGGAAAATTAAACGTAATATTGACGTCGATCAAAAATCCGTATGGACTGTTCTCAATAAGCGATAACTAAAACCTCACACATGCATAGCTCTGAAGAAAGATGGTACTTTACGGATAACAATGACATAATGAATATATCATGCAAATGGTATGACCATTTTTAAACAGTTTTTTTCACATTCGGTGTACAGTGCATCAGACCGTGAATCATACATAAAATCGTGTGTCAACCATTCGTGAATTTAATAAGCCGCGTAGCGCTGATGACGATAAACGAATTTGTTACTGTGATGTCATTGGAATTTTGTTCGCACTTGAATAACAACAAAGCATGTGGACATGGTCGTATTTCATACGAACACATTAAATAAGGTGGAAAATTACTCCTAAAACATTTGTATCACTTGTTCAACATGATGTTACAGTGTGGGTATATACCTAGCTAGTGGAGATTTTTTTTATTATCCTTCCGTTTAAAGGTGGCAATAAACCACTATCTCTTGTGCCAAGTATTGCAGATTTGTTTTGCAAAACTTCTGAAGAAGGGACTTACGAAATTGAGACCTGACTTTCCAAATCACAAGCAAGTTGCTTATCAAAAAACAAATTTAGTAGTCTAAATGCGTCTTATAATTTACAAGAGATCGTATTTCATCACATAGAAAAAAAAGGGGCCCGTCAATATCTTCCTTAGTAGCAATATACCAATTTCACCTGCATATGGGATATACATTTCCAAACTCATTCGATAATGAAAAGCTTGCATCTGCTACTCAGACTTTGTAAAACGTCACCAGTATCTGAGCAAAAAGTTGATGAACCAGGCTCATGTCAAAGAACGTCTCGTCCTTTTTCTAAATAAAATCATCGGAAGATACCAAGACCTTGTTGATAAATATTCCGTATCAACTTCACAAATAATACATGATGGTCTTGATGTATAGATTCTAGGTACTGAAGTTGTTTTTCATCTTAATTACGTGTTATCGTGTTCTTTTATTTGTCTTTGTAAATTATAAACGTTAACTGTTTGGTCCATTTTTCGTAATATGCTTTAGACGTTGCTCGGTACTTGTACATCCCGCCATTGTGTTGTTGTGTTGTGGTCATTTTTTGTATTCTTGTGTTTAATTTTTGCGTATGTACTTTGTCTATATGCCATTTGTTTTTTCTTTGTTGACATATTTGTTTGTTTTTATAGTGATTGAAGTTATAACACAATGTTGACAGCTGTACCCCTATTTTTGACATTTTTACCTATTAAGTCTGTTTGTTTTGTTCACACATTGTTGTCAATATAATGGAATTTTATGCGACTGTCATACAAGTGAGAGGTTTAGCTAGCTTTAAAACCAGGTTTAATCAACCATTTCCTACATGAGGAAATACCTGTACCAAGTCAGGAATATGACAGTTGTATCCATTCGTTTGATGTGTTTGAGCTTTTGATTTGCCAATTGTTAAGGGACTTTCCATTTTGAATTTTCCTTGGAGTGCGGTATTTTTGTTGTTTTACTTTTTCCTATTAGCCAGTATTAAAGCGTTTGATATTGTCCCGCACGATGATTGCGCATTAAACTCTATGAATATGGTAATTCGGCAAAATTGTGGTCTCTACTTGATACATGTAGTATATATTCTGATCTCACAAGTGCAGTATTGTCTGGTGTTACGCTATCACATTGGTTCAAGTTAAACCGTGGTGTTAGGCAAGGAAGTTTTTTTTTCGGCCGAACTGTATCTTATTTTCATCAACGATCTTATTGATAAATTAAAAATTTGTCAACAGGGTGCATTTCTGCATTTCTTAACGCATGTTGGCCTATGCAAGCTGACGATATTTCATTAATTGCAACTAATCGCCAATCTGCACAAGTTGTTGTCAAAATTTGTGAAGATTACAGCACACTTTGGAGTTTTGCGTTCTCAACAGGTAAAAGTAATCTTTTACGGCTTGGTAAACATACAACTGATATTGAGGTACTTCTGTATAATGAACCAATACCGGCAGTTAAGTCAGCAAAATATTGTGGGTACATTCCTCTTTTTTCTCTCCCTAAGTCGATTGTTTGTACAATTGTAGTTTGCAGAACCTTACGTGCAACTGTTATATCTATAATCCGCCTACGTGTTCATTCTGCTATTTTAAACCCTGTTGTGTGTTCAAAACATGTGAAATAAGTGTGTTACCCGAAATGCCTGTCAAGTCAGGAATATGACAGTTGTTTTCCATTCGTTTGATGTGTTTGAGCTTTTGATTTTGGCAATTGTTAAGGGACTTTCTGTTTTGAATTTTCCTTGGAGTTCGGTATTTTTGTTGTTTTTCTTTTTAGTAAATGTTAATATTTCATGTGACTATCTTGACGACATACGTGATATGTTTTGTGTTAAGCTATTAATATAAATCCAATTTCGTTTTGTGCCTTCCTTTCCAACTTGTCTGATGACGAACTTAGCTATCATTTGCTTTCCCTCAACTTAGACGATTTTGTACTTGAAACCGACCATTTAAAGACCTTCCAAACCATATGTTAGATTTATAAACAAATTTTGAACATTATTTAGCGATTCCGACAACCGTATTTTCTGTTACTGATGTTATTTTTTCTAACCATTTGAAATGAACATTATATTCTGACTAATATATATTTGACTTTCTTTTTGAGTTTATTTATTTGATCATTTCATTTATCTCGTTCCATGTTTTGTATTTTCTCACTCTCCTTCTGAAGGCAATAAAGATTATATATGAATCAATTTTGTTTAACGTACGGGTTTTAATTAGACAATCGATTTATATGCGTTACTCTCGCTCTGCTCAATTTAATTCATTTTAGAAAAAAAAAAATGTTTCAGAATTTAAAATATTGCGTGTAAGTCATATGAAGACTAATTGTTGGTTTTATGTTATATTTTACTTTCACAGTCCTTTATTCTTTAACGTAAGAAGGGGTTGCGCTTAGCCTTTAAGGTGACACTTTGTGTAATATAACTGTTCCGGACCATATGAGTTTGTGGACAATACGTGAATGGTCCGGATAATTAATACGATGACCATTGAAAAGTTATTTTTACTGTAAATTTCATAACTATTACCCTTTAAGTTGTCAAAAATTAAGCGTTTTTGAAATGAAATTTTGTTTGACTTATTTAATCATAGGTAAAATTATTGTTACTTGATTAATGAAGGAAACTGAAATTAACTCACGAGTTAAAATTATAGTAAAATCATTTGTACATGATCATTATCGATTTTTTACATACAAAACATAATATGTCAACTTTGAAGTAAAACTTAAAGAAAAATTCAAATGAACCGTTAAACAAGAAGTGAACTGTATGACTTAAAGGCACTTGTGGCATTGAACCATCTTTTTTCATTTTATAAATTGAACTTAAACTTTAATTAGTTTTTAATAAAATCAAATTTCTTAAATATGTCAAATCATATTTAGTTATAGAATTTATTTTTACTCCTATTCAAACGATCTTAAAATAACAGTAAATGACATGTGCTCTATTCTTATGTGGAAAATAAAGTTACAGGGACACCGCGTATTTCTTATTGTATAATAGTACTCATATGTCCCGGAACATAACTTTTAGTTTTATAACTAAAGTGTTTTAATAATTGTTTAGGTAATTGTATCTTTTGAAGTATAAATGCTAAATGAATCATTATTAGCACACTTGGTCTAAAGGAGAAGTGTGAGCAATTACGTCCATATGGCGTCCGTCGTACTTTCTGTGTTCCTGCTCCTTATTGGAAAAAAGAATAATAACAAAAATACCATACACTAAGGAAAATTCAAAACGGAAAGTCCCATATCAAATTGGAGCTGTTGCCCCGAAATTACAATTTGTGCTTTTTAAATTGTTTTTGTGTGGCTATAATTTTGCAATCAGTAAAATAGGGATAGACTCTTTCGATTATAAAAATAATCAGCAAAGAAAGATCTACAAATAATTCAAAAAGACCAAACTAGTCAATTTTACACCTTATTGGAGTTATATGCCGTTAAATGACGATGTCTATCCGTCTGTCGTTTATCGCTTTAACGTTAAAAACTTTAATACATACACGTATTACAAAAATGTTAACAGCAAACATGATCGGCAAAATCATTTACAAACTAGAACTGGGTTAATACCCCTGCTTTAAGTACCCGAGTGTAGTATCAGTTTAGAGAAGTCAGTGCTTCGGTACTGACATGATTTATTACACTTTTCGTTTTGATTTCTTCTTCGATAACATTCACTTGTGGTAAAAACTAATGTTACAACTCCCCATATCAATTTGTCTATTGTTCATGAGTTCCTCATGGTCGTATGGGTACTAACGTATGTAGGTATTGTCTCTTTGACTTTAAGATATGTGGGTTTGAGCTTGGTTTTGCCTTAAGCTGATTTCCTAATGCTAGTAGATTAAGACTTTGCCTTTGGTTGGCTTGCTTGCTTTGTTTGTATTGAAGTTTGCTCATGCATTATAACTAAGATTGATATCTGCGAACAATAGGAATAGGCGGAGTCAAACCTGTATACATTATATTTAGATTTTACAATACTTGTGCAAACGTTTATATAAACAAAACAAGCAACAAAAGTCTTAATCTACAAGCATTAGGAAAGTAGCTCTTAAAGAATTTAGCTATTCTTTATGAATTCCTCTTGGTCATATGGGTACTAACGTATGTAGGTATTATCTCTATGACTTTAAAATATGTGGGTTTGATCTTTGTTTGAGCGTTCTCGATGGTGATAAATCCAGAAAAATGCTTCGGATGCACCAAGCTTATAAAATATTATTTAAAGAAAGGAAACCATAGTCTATATGAAGTATTCTGTTTCAAATCTAAACTCGAAAACATATATCACGAGATTTCAAAGAATTGAAAGCTTTGTGCCTCATATAAAAATGAAACCTATGATCTTCATGCTTATTGATGACTTTCGGGGAAGGCAAAGCCACGAAAGAATTGTTTAGAACATTTTTAAACAATTTTTTGTTATTACAGGTTATGTACATGCGTTATATTTTGAAGTACCAATACAAACAACCGCATTCAAAGTTTGCTGCCGAAAACATATATATATTGGCTCTTGATGGAGATGTTAAATTTGAACCAGAGGCTGTCTTGAGTTTAATGCAGCGTCTGAAAAAATCAAAGACAATAGGAGCAGCATGTGGTAGAATACATCCGAAAAGAGCAGGTATATATTAAAATAGCAGTAGTTTTTAAACGACCGCAAATTGTTTTCGGTGTTATAATGTCATGACGTTGTCAGCATCGTCGTTGTCGTCGGTGTTGACATCGTCCGAAGACATTTGGTTTCCAGACATTAACTTGAGTATAAGTGTATTGATCTCTATGAAATTGTACCACAATTTTCCATACCACAAAAGGAAGGTTGAGATTGATTTTGGGGATAATTGACCTTACTGTTGAAACTAATTGGCCATACTTGGGCATGAAACAAGCATTTGTTTGTTTCAGGACAATAACTTGTGTATAATTGTATGGGTATCTATGAAATTGATCCACATTGAGATCTGCTTACAACTTTAGAATTGTTATAATAATGTATCATAGAAAAAACTCACCAAGTTAATCAGGCTTATAAATAATCACGCCGGAATCATCCGTTGCGCTCGAATAAAAAACAGTTGGAAGGCCTAAGCAAGTTCGAATAAAACGATCGATAAGACTAAAATATCGAAAAGTTGGACTGAATACGACTGAGCAATCTACGCTGAGGGTATATTTAGTGTGTAAGGGTAAAACTGACAAAATATGTCAAATAAAATTCTAAATGACATTTGTAAGGTAAATGCTCTGATCAATCTACAAGCAATAGGAAATTAGCTCTTAAAGAATTTGGCTATTCTTTATGAGTTCCTCTTGGTCATATGGGTACTAACGTATGTAGGTATTATCTCTATGACTTTAAAATATGTGGGTTTGATCTTTGTTTGAGCGTTCTCGATGGTGATAAATCCAGAAAAATGCTTCGGATGCATCAAGCTTATAATTGATCTTACTGTTGAAACTAATGGGCCATACTTGGGCATAAAACAAACATTTGTTTGTTTCAGGACAATAACTTGTGTATAATTGTATGGGTATCTATGCAATTGATCCAAATTGAGATCTGCTTACAACTTTAGAATTGTTATAATAATGTATCATAGAAAAAACTCACCAAATTAATCAGGCTTATAAATAATCACGCCGGAATCATCCAATGCGCTCGAATCAAAAACAACTGGAAGGCCTAAGCAAGTTCAAATAAAAAGATCGATAAGACTAAAATATCGAAAAGTTGGACTGAGCAATCTACGCTGAGGGTATATTTAGTGTGTAAGGGTAAAACTGACAAAATATGTCAAATAAAATTCTAAATGACATTTGTAAGGTAAATGCTCTGATCAAGACGAAGCACAGTTTTTTTTTACCTAAAAAGGCCAGGGGCAGTTAACTTTATTTTAACTTAAACTGGAAGACATATTTTGACGACATAACGAGTTGGTTGACCGTTACGGAAGAAAAGATTAACAAAAATACCAAACTCCAAGTTAAAAACAAAAAGTAGAAGGCTATGAAAACTGACAAAATCAAACGTTATCAATCAACAGAACGAGTAAAACCCAACTGTTATATTCCTGACATTTTTCGGTCTTTAACTTGATTTCATTGCTAGCTGAACCTCCCACTTGTATTACAGTTCTAAATAGTTCCGTTAGATTGACAAAATAAATTGGGTGCACAAAAATACATCACAACTGACTAAAAAAATTCACAACAACGAAGTTGTAAAAAAATATGTTGTTGTTTATGGTAAATTTGTCAGACATTATCAAAAAAAGTGTTGTTGATAGTATATTGACAATGACGCACAACACTGTTAAAAAGCCCTCTGGCATCCGAACCGCTCTTCAGGATTAACTTGCACTAGGAGCACCCAAAGTAAAACCCGATAGCTGAATGCATACATACCGTGTCATGTCAAAAGGGATAAGACCAAAAGACAAACAAAAGCACGAAAATACATAAAGTAAGGAAAAACTTCAAAACCAAATAAAACGACACACAACTTCAGCACCCAGAATTTATAACTGAAGACCATCTTGTATATATTTGTGTATTGTGACACTGAATATTTATCTATTACGTCTAGGTCTTTTTTGAGAGAAAAAAAAAACGAAAGGTTCTTTGATAAAATCCTTGCTCATCAAAATTTTCCTTAGAAACCGGTAACAGAGAGAAAAAAATTAGATAATACGAAATGATTGCGTATGACTGTTTGAAGGGAATTACGAAGTGTAATGGTGAACTGATAACTGTTTTAATAGGTCCAATGGTTTGGTATCAACAGTTTGAGTATGCCATTAGTCATTGGTTACAGAAGGTAACTGAACATGTGACAGGTTGTGTACTTTGTACTCCTGGTTGTTTCAGTCTTTTCCGTGGATCGTCAATTTTGAAGGTTTTAGATACTTATAGTGAAGTAGCAACAAAACCAAGGCACTATTTACAATATGATCAAGGTACGTTTAATTTGAAAATAATTAGTAAATACTGATTTCATGTTTATGTTGTGTTATATTTACTTGATTATTGATTTTTATTAATTATTTTTTTATCCGTGGTAAATCTAAAGACTTTCCAAATTCAAAACGGAAAGTCCCTTAACAAATGTCAAAAGTTCAATCACATCAAACGAATGGAATATTCCTGACTTGATACAGGCATTTCCTTATGCATGGTGCATGTCAAGATTCCATCATTTGGTGAATTAATATGCTATATATTTATTTTACTTTTGTCAATATTTTACTCTTTGTATGGCCTGGACAATTTCCCTTTAAAAAATTTAAAGATTTGAACATTATTTTTTGCAAGGCGAAGACAGATGGTTATGTACTTTACTTCTTAAAAACGGAATGAAAATCGAATATACTGCAGAATCAGACGCTTACACATTTGTTCCTGAAGGATTTTATAAATTTTACAATCAACGCCGCCGATGGACACCTTCAACCATAGCAAATATTCTAGATCTGCTAATATCTTGGAAGGAAATAACGGAGGAAAATAACAACATATCTGTCCTTTACATCTGTTACCATTTGTGTTTGTTTGTTTCAACTTTATTAACACCAGGCACTATATTCATGTTAATAGTAGGAGCTATCATTGTCAGCTTCCAATGGATTCACTCCTTGATTATATTGATTTTAAATATAATACCAGTGTCAGCGTTTATGCTAATGTGCGTGTATGCATCGACACAGAAACAGGTTTGTTTTTGAGTTATCTGCTTAGCTTTTAATAGTAGAGGGTATGTGATTTCCTGTTCGATGGTCCGTTCGTTACCCTCTTAATCCTCCCTTCCGTTTGGCCAAATTCACTAAGCCCGAATTTCCAAGGGCGCCTTAAATGCTTACAGTTTTTAAAGTGAAAATCAACCGAATTGCTACACCCTTCTTGGATGGCTATTCATCTCAATAATCCAAAAGGAAGAGCAATTTACAATTACTTTTCGAAAGAAAGCTTTTGTTATTAAACAATCTCCAAGTTTACAACAATTTACGTAATTTTGTTTAAGCTTCATGAGGGCATCGGTGGCCAAGATCTAAATAGTCCAACTACTGTATTAAATAGCCTGTCAACACTGAGGTTGCGAGTTCGAATCCTGCACGGGGCAGGTGCACTCGAATCCAATCTTAATTGACTAGTTTGTCAGTTTTCCTACCGAAGGTCGATGGTTCCCTCCGAGTCCTCCTGCTTCCTGACCGCCACGAAATAGCACAATAGTGTTGAAAGTGGCGTAAAACATCAATCAATCAATTTATCGTCTGGATTTGAAAATAGTCTCTGTCAGGTGTTACTCTATTACATAAGCTACAGATAAAAGCTAGAAATCACAAAAAAAACATGAAGTAGACTCCCTTGACAGCCCTCTCGCACTTTAAATAAAATTAAAACATTTACTACTGTAGACCTCATTGATATCAAGTAAAAAACAATAAAGTTCTATGCAATACTTTTTTTTTATGACATTTCTTTACAGATGAAACAATACATATCCTTCAATGAAAAGTGCAACAAAAATTAATGTAAATGGTTGATGGTCAGAAAAATCAAAAGTTGCGAAGGATACCAAAGGGACATTCAAACTCTTAAGTCGAAAAGAACAAGTTCTGTACTCGTACTGTGAACAACAAATTTATTTATTTTGCAAACAAATGTTTCCGTACTCCTAACAACAAAATTATTATATTTAAATTACCTGTGTACGTTACTTTATTTAACGCCATTTTGTCCCAAGTTAAAGTTGTCTTTTTGACATTGTTCTACATCTTTTCTTTTGTTAATATTGTATTTATAATGTGTCAAAGATCAAACTTATTCGTTCAGTGTATGTTTACCTGTTTTTGTTTATATGTCTTTTTGATCGAGATAAGCCAATTAAATTGATATTTTATAGTGTGTCTTTTTATGTTGTAATGTTTAACTACTGTTTCAGGTTAGGTTGAAGGTTGGCGCCTGTTTAAACGTTAAAAGCCGCTGCATTTGTATGCACCTATCCTTAGTCAGGAGCCTGTTGTTCAGTGGTTGTCGTTTGTTGGTGTGGTTCATAAGTGTTTCTCGTTTTTTATATAGATTAGACCGTTGGTTCTCCTGTTTGAATTGTTTTACACTAGTCATTTTGGGACCCTTTACAGCTTGCTGTTCGGTGTGAGACAAGGCTCAATGTTGAAGGCCGTACTTTGACCTATAATTGTTTACTTTTTACACATTGTGACTTGGATGGAGAGTTGTCTCATTGGCACTCATACCACATCTTCTTATTTAAAGTTAAAAATAAAACCCCAGAAAGCTAAAGATTGAGCAAAACTCAAAAAATAAATGCCCCGATTAATAATTCAGTCCTGCTTAATCCATCCTACATGCATAGCGCATTGAACATTTATTGATGAATTAAGTCTTAAATGAGGACAAAGATGTCGGTAAAACGGAACGTCATATCTATGGTAACCTATGTCACCAATGTACTTATATGTACATTTAATATTCACCTTGTCCTAAAAACATTCAAGGAGATGATTTCCAATAAACCATTTAAACGTTTTGTTAAATGATTTCATTGTAAGCACCAACCTTTTTCAATATATTGCCGATAGTAAACACAAGTAATAGTTCACCAAGTAATTACAACCACACCTATACAATTTGAAGTATGAATAACAATAACACATGTAAACAAGTTATGTATCATTTTTAGAGCGAATTTCCTAATGCTTGTAGATTAAGACTTTCGTTGGCTTGCTTGCTTTGTTTGTATAAACGTTTGCTCAGGCATTGTAATTGAGATTGGTATCTGCGTACAATATGAATAGGCGGAGTGAAACCTGTATACATTATATTTAGATTTGATTGGACATTATCACATTATTAATTCTAACTACATACATGTTTTACTCCGACTACTTATATTGTTTGCAGATGTCAATCTTAAGTACAATACTTGAGCAAACGTTTTGACAAACAAAGCAAGCAAGTCAACCAAAGTCTTAATCTACAAGCATTAGGAAATTAGCTCTAATGTTGTTCAATAGAGAAAAAAGAGATAAAAAATGCCTAGGGGACATTCAAAGTTCATCAGTCGAAAAATTGACAACGCCTAGGCTTAATGAAAAACAACAAAAAGTTTGGAAAAGTCCACAAAACACTACATAGAAAACTGAAGACATCTTGGTGATCCCGATATAATAACAGAACGATCACCAAAATGACCATCGAACAAGCTCAAACGAATGCCGACTTTAAAGCTTAGAATTGAATTGATTTGTGCTTTTTCTTTGCTCCAAGACTAGGTTTATTGTTAGATAATAATTGAATAGATGCAAAATTTTATAAAAAAAAAAGTAAAAAGTGCTGATAATATATTGTTTTAGCTACAATTTGCAGCCATCTTATCCTGCATATATGGAATCATTATGCTGATTGGCTTGATTGGTGTTGTTAGAGATGCCGTTGATATTGGATTTTGCTCGATTACTACCATTTTTATCATATATTTGAAACCGGTGTTTTCCTTATTTCAGCTATTCTTCACCCAAAGGTATATAGTTTTTTAAGTGTTAATATATATTGTAAACACAAACATCCGAATTCTGATCGCAAAAGACCTCCGTTCTCGAAATTTAACTTGTCTTTCTACCTGCATTCAAAGTTTTAAATCTAAAGATTTTGAATTACTAGACAGAAACAAAAAAAAATTGAAAAAAAACTAGACAGTATGCTTTGCTTTTAATTCATTGCTTCAAGGTATAGAACCACTAATTCGGGCCCGTTCAGAAAGACCATACAAGAAAGTAGTACTTATTTTAAACAAAATGGTTACTACGTATATAGCTGTAACTTGGTCAAAAAGTAAAATATTTAGGTAATTATGTTCTCAAATGAAATTTTAAGAACTTGGGATCACTGTAGACCCCTTGTTCAAAGTTGCTTTGGAAAACATATACAAGATATACTAGTATTAAATTTGAATTGAAGGGCATATTTTTCCTGTTGCAAAGATAAGAAGTACCCGTTTTTGTTCTTTTAAACTTCTGGGAACCAGTGCGCTCTAATATGAAATTAAAGCTATGTTGAATTTTTTTCAGCACAATACAAAAACAGGAGATGTGGTACAGTGTATGATTGTCAATGAGACAACTATCTAATAGTATTCAAATAAAGTGGATGTAAGCACTTATAGGCAACCGCATGGCCTTCAACAATGAGTAAAACCATTCCGTATAACCGGCTATAAACGGCCCCAACAGGATAAATGTGAAACAATTCAAACGAGAAAACTAACGGCTTGTTTATAACAAAACAATTTAGGCAAAAACCAACAACAACCATTGAACTACAAGATCCTGACAAGCACATTAGAATGTGGCGGGGTAAAACATGCTTGTGAACACGCAACCCTCACCCTAACATGGGGCAGTTGTGTAACTGCACAAAAAAGCAATCAAAACTGATTTAACTCAAAGGATCGGTACGACGAACAAAACAACCAACATAAAAACAATAAACACAAAGACACAAAGCACCAAAATCATTGTGCTCGCAGTTACCTAAAGCTAGTTCAAAGCCAATTACAATATGAATAAATCATGTTCTTTCAGACTAAAGTATCAACGAGTACATATCCAACGGATTTAGTAAAAAGGTATAGTTTGGACATGACATGACTGTCACTTTATTTGAATTTAAGACAAAAAAAAAAAAGAGATGGCTGCAATGGTACTTTGAATTAGTGGTTTTATTCCTCAGCGCAAATATAGTAATATACAAATCCTTTATGCTTTGTTTTAATGTTAATAAGTCATATAGTATACAATATAATATACTTTTATCCAAAAGATATACCTCGATTCAGAAAGGACGCTTTATTTTCAAATTGACTAGCTAATATGAGTCTTCACGTTTAAATCATTACTCAGAATTATAGATAATATATTTGTAGGAATTTCTCTGTATAATTCCGGGGCTCATTTACTTCTTTGCAATACCGTCAATGTCCATGCTTATGTTCTTGTATGCGATTGGTAATTTACATGATGTTTCTTGGGGAACGAGAGAGACAAAGTCAGAGTCCTTCATTGGTAAAAGTCAAGAAGAAATGGAAAAGGAAAAAGGATATTTTTGTAGTTTTGGAAAATTTTGCACGTAAGTCAATAAGATTTGTGTTAGATAGAAAAAAAAGCCTTGTTCTTTGGTGTTACTTTTTGTAAACAAAACAAAGTGTTTTATTATTCACAAGATATCGTAAATAATCATTCTAGTCTGTGCATCCGTCAGAGTAATATAAATCTGCACAACTGTTTAATTCAGCTGAATTTTGCCGTTTTTGTCGAGTCTGTGACTTCTGTCGCAGAAAGCAAGACATAGGGATAGTGATCCGGCGGCGGCGGCGATGGCGGCGTTAACTAACTTCTTAAAAGCTTAATATTTCAGGAGGTAGAAGACCTTGATGTTTCATACTTTGTATACAGATGCCTTATGTTATGAAGTTTCCGTCTGTCATATGTCCATTATCATTGACCTCATTTTCCTGGTTCAGTTACTACTTGAAAAAAAGATGAGATTTGTTGTAATGTTAATTTCTCTCTAATTATGAGTAATATGATAACTATATTGATATGTGCGTACCTTGCAAGGTCACCATGTCTGTCATACAGTTTTCACTTGAGCTCGACCTCATTTCATGTATCAGTGAACAAATTTAATTTTTAAGGTCAAGTTCATATCTCAGATACTTTAAGTAATAGGTCTTCTATATTTGGTGTATGGAATTATTGTAAGGTGTACTGATCTTGACCTCAGTTTCATGGTTTAGTAGTTAACATTTAGTTTTTGTCTTTTGGTCTGTTTTTCTAATACTGTATGCAAAAGGTCAACTTTATTTGGCGTAAGGAAATATTTTACGATGTACATGTCAGTCTGGCAGGTGTTATTTGACCTTGACCTCATTTGTACTGTTCATTGCTCAATGTTAAATTTTATGTTTTTGGTCTATTTTTCGTAAACTATATGCAATAATCAACTATATTTGGTGTATGGAATGATTGAAAAGTTTGTATGTCTGTCTGGTAGGTATCATCTGACCTTGAACTGATTTTCATGGTTCATTGGTCATTGTTAAGTTTTCCTGGTTCAGTTTGTGTCTTAGATACTATATGCAATAGGTCAACTATATGTGATGCGCAGGGAATGATTGTAGTGGGTACATGTTTTTCTGGCAAGGTTCATCTGACCTTGACCTCTTTTTCATGTTTCTTTGGTCAATAAAACGTTTTCAGGGTTTGGTTTGTTTCTTGTATACTATAAGCATTAAGTCAAATCTATTCGGTGAACGGAATGATTGTAATGTGTACCGGTATTTTTGGCTTGGTTTATCTGACCTTGACCTTATTGTATTGGATCATATTAAGGTAATGTGATACATGTAGTTAAACTTTATATTTAGGAATGTCAACATAAAATCAATGTTTACTAAAGCAGGCGAGACATTTCAGCGTGTGCACTCTTGTTACGAGTATTCCTCTAATCTGTAATGTACAGATTGTATAAAATTTCCAATCATGCTATTTTTGACTGAATGTGTATTTGTAAAAGAGGTAATGTATGCACAGCATGGAACGCTTACAATGAAGACACACTTTTATACGCTCCGTTTTAAATATTTAAAAATCGGTAAACGACTATGGCATTTTACACTTCCAAGAAGAATAACATAAAATTTAAAAAGAAAGATCCAGTTGTTTATGTAAAGTTGATTAAAACATACATTTATGAGACAGAAATAGACAATTCAAATAATGACTTAAATTACTTTGCTGTACATTTTATTCCCGGCATTGGCATAATAGGATATACTTGTAGACAATAAGATTGGTTGTGGTTTTATAAAAATGTTTATGCAGTAAACCATATAACAGGACAGTTTTAATCCCTCAGTTTAATCGAATGTCAGTGCTTTGTTTCTAAGTGTTTATGTTTGTGAGATGTGCCCCTAAAACATCTTTCGTTAAACGGTTACTTCAAAGGTAACAAGAGGACTCGGTGGACGAGTGGTCTTAGTAGTCCAGCTACTGTATCGCTAGCCTGTCAACACTGAGGTTGTGAGTTCGAACCCTAAATGTGGCAGGTACGCTTTGGGTTTCTGAGTAAAGTTTGATTGGTTGATGGATTGATAAATTGGTGTTTTATGCCACTTTCATCGCTCTTGGCTATTTTGTGGCGGTCAGTTTTTATTAGTGGAGAAACCGGAAATGCCCGGAGAGAACAAACGACCTTCGGCAGGAACTGGCTCAAACCAATCTTAATTGACTAGGATTGCAAGTTTTCCTGCCGAAGGTCGTTTGTTCTCTCCGGGCATTTCCGGTTTCTCCACTAATAAAAACTGACCGCCACAAAATAGCCAAGAGCGATGAAAGTGGCATAAAACACCAATTTATCAATCCATCAACCAATCAAACTTTACCCAGAAACCCAAAGAACTGGTTCCAGGAAATAGAAAATCTGAGAAAATATTGAGTATTGCACAGTTAAAAAAATGACATCTCCGATTTCACCATTTTATTTACTTCTCTAATACATAAGTGTATTTAGGGAACTGTTATTTCAGAAAATGAAAATGATGTGATTGTTTAACAATGAAAAAAAAACACGAAAGTGATTATAGATATTTTTAGAAATGCAGCTACATTGTACAAATAATGCTAACAAATAAACCAAACTGCACTGAATCGCATTTTTTGCAATAAATAGAATATTGCAAGGTCTGGATGAAAATAGTTAAGAATATTTGTGTGTGATAAGACGCCACCATTGTTCTCACAACGACATGTACATAGTACTTATACTGAATTATGTATGTTGATCTATTGATGATGAGTAATATTTGCTTTTTGGCTGCTAACTCATTGATATATGACGAAGGCTATTTGTTAAGCCGAAATATTTGTCAACACGATTTTATAACATCATCTTCGTATATTACCATCTTATATTAGTACCATTGTGCAAATCTTTAGACTTATATAATTTTTTTCCTTATCTGCGCAGTATCGTCTATTCTAGACGATCCGGTACATATTACATTTGCTGGTTGGTGTTTTTTATAGACTTCTATATATATATATATATATATATATATATATGAGACGTCTAGATATTAGTCAACGATCTTTCTTTCTCGTAAGAGACATCTTGCGCATTGAATCCAGGAAATTACTACAAAAACAATTAAAAAATTTTAAACGACACGGCGTACTTTTATACACTATAACAAGAGAGCAGACCACCTTAACTCTTAATCGTACTATCATAGCCGGATAAATATCCCGGAATCGCAGATTTAGGAGATAAAAACAAAGTTGTAAGAACTCTACAAACTGTTGTAGTCAATTTGTCTTCAGTTGCCTTGTCAGAGACCGAGACTAAAGTATTGTCAAAAGGTCTTAATTTTTGTTCCATGTCAGGCAAAATTGATACTTTACTATTGGGAGATGACCTAGACAAATTAGCAAGATCTCTCAGAATCAAGGAACACTTCTCTAAGGACACCACAAAAAGTAACATTGATGGGGACATAAGTGATCTCGACTCAAACGAAGAACAAGAAGATGTCGATATTCCCAGATTCAGGAAAAAAAGTTCATGGATTCCTAAACCCAGTAAATGTGCTACTTTAGAACATATTATTGACAAAATTAAATCCGACGTAACACATCTGTCCACTGCCACTTCCCCAAAATTCAACAATTTATCGTCTGAAGAAAATGAAGCTGTTCGGCTGCTTTAAAGCAGAGACGACATTATAATAAAACCAGCAGACAAAGGCAGCGCTGTTGTCGTCATGGACAAAGGTGATTACATTCGAGAGGCAGAACGTCAACTCTCTGATTAGAGATTTTATAAAAAAATAGACTCTGACCCCACCCCTCAATTCAACAAAGAGGTCACAACAAATTTGAAAATCATGTGTGAACAGGATCATATTGATGGAGACACATTCAAATATATAAAACCTGAAAATCAAAGCCGGGGCGTTTCTATCTTCTGCACAAAGTCAATAATCCAGGTAAAAACCAATTGTTTCTGCCAATGACCACCCTACAGAGAAAATATCAGAATTTATTGACTTTCATTTAATAAAATTGAGAATGGAAATGGGGAATGTGTCAAAGAGACAACAACCCGACCACAGAACAGACAACAGCAGAAGGCCACCAACAGGTCTTCAATGCAGCGAGAAATTCCCGCACCCGGAGGCGTCCTTCAGCTGGCCCCTAAACAAATATATATACTAGTTCAGTGATAATGAACGCCATACTAAACTCCAAATTGTACACAAGAAACTAAAATTAAAAATAATACAAGACTAACAAAGGCTAGAGGCTCCTGACTTGGGACAGGCGCAAAAATGCGGCGGGGTTAAACATGTTTATGAGATCTCAACCCTCCCCCTATACCTCTAGCCAATGTAGAAAAGTAAACGCATAACAATACGCACATTAAAATTCAGTTCAAGAGAAGTCCGAGTCTGATGTCAGAAGATGTAACCAAAGAAAATAAACAAAATGACAATAATACATAAATAACAACAGACTACTAGCAGTTAACTGACATGCCAGCTCCAGACTTCAATTAAACTGATTGAAAGATTATGTCTTCATCATATGAATATCAGGCACAATCCTTCCCGTTAGGGGTTTAGTATCATACCATCATAACATATATGAGAAGAACATAACCCGTGTCATGCCAACAACTGGTTTTTAAATAAATGTGTTTAGTGCCGATGCAAAGACCCTATAAGTGAATCAATATTAACGCCAAAATATGCAATCTTTAATGACCTGACAACAGTATCGTATCTATATCCCTTCTTAATAAGTCTATTTAAAGGTTTTGTTAGTTTCAGAGGTGAATACTGACATTTTTGTGCTTTATAAAGAATATTTCCATAAAAAATTGGATGTGAAATACCTGAACGTATAAGAAGTCTGTATGTTGAGCTATATTTACGAATGATGTCCTTATACCGATGATAAAATTTAGTAAATGTTTTGACTAGTTTGTGATATCGAAAACCCTGGTGTAATAATTTTTCAGTAATACATAAATTTCTCTCGTTAAAATCTAAAACATTGTTACATACACGAGCGAATCGTACAAGTTGAGATATATAAACACCGTAAGATGGTGACAAGGGAACGTCACCATCTAAAAATGGATAATTAACGATAGGAAATGAAAAATCATCTCTTTTATCATATATTTTAGTATTTAGCTTTCCGTTAATGATATAGATATCAAGATCGAGGAAAGGGCAGTGGTCATTGTTAGTATTAGCTTTATTTAAAGTAAGTTCAACAGGATAAATTTCTTTAGTATACATACTGAAGTCGTCATTATTGAGAGCCAAAATATCATCCAAATATCTAAAAGTATTATTAAATTTGTGTATCAGATGTTGTTTCGATGGGTCTTTACTGATTTTTGTCATAAATTGTAACTCATAGCAATACAAAAAAAGGTCCGCAATAAGTGGTGCACAGTTAGTCCCCATTGGAATTCCGATAACCTGACGATATACGGAATCTCCAAAGCGAACAAAAATGTTATCTAGTAAAAATTCAAGGGCATATATAGTATCAAAGCATGTCCAATTGACATAGTTTTTTTGTTTATTGCTACTAAAAAATGACCTAAAAGAGTTTGAACATATATATTCACATTCTGACTTTTTAAATGCCCATTTGATTAGGTGTGTGAATTTTTTCTTAATGAGAATGTGAGGCAATGTGGTATATAGGGTAGAAAAATCAAAACTTTGAACAGATTCAAAATCACCAATATATGCATGCAATTTATCAAGTACTTCCAACGAGTTCTTGACACTCCAAAAGTAATTAATTCCACTATTTTCGATGGCCTTATTTGAACAATTTATTATCAGGTTTTTGATTGTACCAAGTGTACTGGTAAGAAGAATAGACAATTTAGTAGTGGAACAATGGCTTGAAGACGAAATGAATCTATATTTGTAAGGTGTTTTGTGTAGCTTCGGAAGCCAATACATAGTTGGGACTTTCATTGTATTTGGTTCTGCTTGTAAAGCGGTAGCTAAAAGTTTATGTTTGTTACAGATGTCGTTTTCTGAAAATGGAGTCAGTTGGAATGTTGGTGAATTGGTGATTTCTTTTTTCAGAACCTCAATGTAAAATTTACGTCAAACAATAATAATATTATTAGCAGCTTTATCGGCCGGGACAAAAACAAATTCCTTGGCTAGTTCTTTTAGTTTGTGTTTGATACGAGAAATAGGTTTATTGTGGTTATTGTTAAGAGTAAAATGTTCTTTAAAATGTTGAATACGTATATCAACTATGTTCATTACTGATTTAAAAAAAGAGTCCAAAGATTTTTTGTCAGCTTTTTCCCGTTTTATCCATTTCAAACAGTAAGTATGGAGTGAGTCGTGGATGATATTACGACACTCATTCCAATTAATAATTGACGGGGGACGATATTTAGGTCCTTTACTGAGGAATGATTTTAACTCTCGGTCTTGAACGATGTTAAGATCTCCTGTTATAACATGGGAAATGGGTCCATAAATGTATTCGGAATTACTGCAATTACATGAAGTAGGTGTATTTTCACTGATATTAACATCTTTACACAATTGGCTATAATTAAACACAAATTTCCGGGTAGATTTCTTGTAAATATAACAAATAAGAGGGAGCTCAGTATTATCAAAATATCCCGGAATTTGTTCTTTAACAGAATGGTCGTTAAAAATACCGGCAATATTTACAAAATCAAAACCTTTATTGACATACTTTATTTTAATAAACTGTTTTTTAAGACCATATGTGGAAAATTTACCATCCTTTATACAAGACACAACACACTATCTTAAGAAAAATGGAATCCTTGAACCCTCTTCCCCCTAAAACGATCCTTGTCTCGCTTGATGTTGCCTCTCTCTATACTAACATCCCCCATGACGATGGTATTGAAGCCTGTAGGGAAGTCTGGAGCTCCCGCAACACCTTGCATCCACCTACTGAATGTCTAGTCCAGCTTCTAACTTTGGTATTGAAATGCAATAACTTCACATTCAATGGTGAACACTCTTTCCAAGTTAATGGAACAGCAATGGGAACAAAGATGGCCCCGTCTTATGCCAATATTTTTATGGGGAAATTAGAACAGCGAATTCTCAATTCTTCTCTTTATCAACCTCTCTCTTGGTTCCGATTCATCGACGATATTGACATGAAATGGGATAATACTGAACAACAACTTAATTTGTTCATTCAACATGCCAACGATGCTCATCCCTCAATAAAATTCACTTGACTCTAAGATCACATTTCTTGACACTGCCACGCAAGTGAAGGATGGATCCATATTTACAGATCTGTATTGCAAGCCCACAGACAAACATCAACATCTTTCTCCTTTGAGTTGCCATCCTAAACATTGCACCAGGAGCATTCCCTACAGCCAGGCCATACGAATAAAACGGATTTGCTCCACCAACGATACTGCAAAGAGGCGACTACAAGAACTTCGCGGTCACCTATAAAAATCGGGGCTACAAAAGAAAAGACATTGATCAAGGTTTCTCTCGTGCTAACAACTTCAGCTGAGATGAACTTTTACAATATAAAGACAAAAAGGTCAAAAAGAGAGTGCCGTTTGTGCTGACTTACCATCCCAAATTTGACAAGTTATCACACCTTACCCGCTAAAATTGGAAAGAAATCGAAAAACATCCTAAACTATCCAAAATCTTTCCCGAGCCACCTGTACTGGCTTTCCGTAGGCCCAAAAGCCTTAAAGACTTGCTGTTGAGAGCTAATTTAATCTCTAAAACAGGCTCTTCGTCTGTGGGCTCTTGCAAGGGATGCGGAAATAAACGATTTCTGACTTGCAAACAAATACTGAATATCCAGACTTTTAACAGTCACTCCAATGGTACGGAATACACCATATTTTACAATGTTAATTGAAAGACTACAAATGCTGTGTATCTTCTGCAGTGTAAATGTGGTAAACAGTATGTTGGCGAGTCAGAACACCCATTTCACAAACGAAAGAACGGCCATCGTAGCGACTATGAATGCGAGCCAGACCTTCCTCTCAGTCGACATTTGAGATTTCCTGGCCACACTAAGGCAGATCGCAATCGACTGACTATTACAATCATAGACCACAACACTGCTTGGTCTAGGGAGGATAGATATGCTCGGGAAAGATTTTGGATAAGAAAATTAAAAACTTTTGCACCAAATGGGATAAATGAAAAGGTGTAGTTCTAATTCGCGCAGTGCTTTTCATTTTGGTTATATTACATATTAGTACACAGCCTTTGTTGCTATTTTTTTACCTTTGTCAACTCTAATACCAGTTTGAATCGCAGGGTTCTATTCATTTGGGACGTGCAAGTACGCAGTCACGTTCAATTACTCAACCTTTGTCAAAATGTATTATTATCTTGTTTGAATCATTATCAAACTTCTATTTATTTGGGATGTTTAAATACGCAGCCTCTGTTGTAATTACTTTACCATTGTCAAATTTGAAATATTGTACCAGCTAAGTTCGGTCAGTGCTGTTTATTGGGAATGTATTTCCACGCAGTCGTTGTTGTAAGATCTTAACTTTCGTCACCTTTGAAATTTTAGAATTGTACCAGTTCATATCGCACATTACTATTTTTATTTGAAGCATATCTATGCAGTCTCTGTTGTAAATAGCTTTATAACCTACGTTATTTTACAAGCGTTTTTGTGTTCGGTTTTAATTGTATAAATTTCAAGATTGTTATAGTTAAATCAGAATAGATTGATATGATTCATTTTACATCATAATCTTACTGATGAAGGATATCTGTTATTCGAAATATTTATAGATATTTACATTTAATGTTTTCATCTTTTAATATTGGGTGTTGTTTTGTACACTTTGTGGCGTTTTTATATATATATATATCCCACACCGCTTTTTATTTATATATAAATGAATAAGTCTTGATTTTAATCAAAATAATATATTTAACATTTGATTACAGTTGTATGTTCTGCCCTACAAATAATTACACAAAGAGTGACTTTATATTGAGTATTCTTAATAAATGGAAGTATCTCAAAGATGATCTGGATGTGAACCGAGGAAACGCAGAAACAGGTATGTCAATATATAAAAAAGCTACAAAGGTTTCATTGTTCAAAAACCCCAAAATTATTTAAGAACAAATATTGTTTATTGTACAACAACTGGTGCTACTAACGAATCACTTTCGAAAACTAATGGAATTGTAGTTTTTCAATGAAAGACGTGATATAGATGCAATTTCTTTAACATGTTTAATGATACAAGGTTTGTACACTTGATGACAAAATCTCCTGACTATGATAGAATTAAGTAAAGGTTTAAAGTGATTTGTGGTAACGAAATCCCTGACTAAATAATTTACCAGCAATACATAGATACATAGATAACTTTTATTGAAATCCAAAAAGTTACTGTTTGAAGAAAGTATTTTTTTTCAATGGAAAATATTACCCTGATGAATATACAAGTTGTAGATGTTAAATATATATTCATCTATGTAGGCATGATATTATTTATTACTAAAAAACAACTGTCATGGTATCTACAAATCTTAAGATTTTAAACTGCGAAAACATGTAGTTAGTAGTGAATTGAGACAAAGACATATCGTAATAAAGAACTTATTAAAAACATATGTAGTGTCGATTTTAGTCGTTCGTCCCTATAACCGTAAAACAGTTGATGTCCCAGAATTGTCGACAATATCAATAAATTGTCTAACTTAAAACTGCATCATTATTCGGGCAAATGATCTTATAAAATTATTTACAAAAGATATCTTCTGCTGACCAAAAGTGGTCCTTTTTTAACGGAAAGTATGTAGAAACTGCGTATTTCTTTTATATGAAACGAGTCTATTATGGGAAGTAACATTGTTTAAACCGGTTGTCTTATTTCACCTTGAGAATCATAACTGTCTTTAAGGAGGGTCGCTTTTTTTTATAAATTTGTTGAATGTATTTGTATGTCGTTTTTATCAATGGAGGGGTAAAATAGTTTAAATTTTTAACATGAAACCTTCTAATTCCAAATAAGTATAACAAAAATACTGAATTCCAAGGCAAATTTTAATTCTTTCTTTATGGTTCATAAAGCCTATGAACTGGTATATAAGGAAAGAGTTATAATATTATTGCCGATGATAAGCATATTTATTAAACATGCTATAATAAAAGAACATATACTGTAATAGTTTGAGGTCATCGTCAGGCCTTCAACAAAAACCCCTGAAGCAAGTTATAAGGACAAGGTATTACAAAATGTTGTTTCATGTTCAAAAGTGAAAACGAACAGCCGACGAAAATAAGCAAAAATAAAAAATGCTGACAGCAACCAACGACAACAACTGGCTTACATGTTCCTGGCTTAAGATATGTTCCAAAAATGATGTGGTTGGATTCAGCATCTTTTTGTTAATGCTCACCCCCTTTTTCCTAGAATTTTTGTAGAAATAAAACAATACAAGGTGTATTAAAATTAAGTTGGATTAGGTTTCAGACCAGTTATAAGTTCAAACGATAACACAAAATACAAAACAGACAAAGTTACGATCTAAGATGCGTAAACGTTATAAAAGGTAGTACAAATTGGATCTAATGAATAAACGATTGTTTCTCAGACTATAAATCAGTTCACCTTTTATCAATTTACTCTGAAGACGTCACATGCAGTCTGAGAAAAACACGACGTTGGAAGATAGCAAGATACAGGTATTGTCCGGATGTAGGACCATAAGTTGTAAAAACTAGAGAACAACACATTATAAGTTGTATATTAAATTAATAAAAAAAATATTTCTCTTTAATTTGGAAGAGTAAAACATCAGCTTTAAAGAAGAAGAAAAAAAAAAATTCATTTCCTAATTTTATACGTATGGATATTTAGTTATATCTTTATATATTTTCTAAGGGTATCGAGTTGATATTGAAGATTTGGAATTCTCAGGTAAGTAAATAGATCAAATGTTTTGCTCTATGAACTGATATGTGCGAAATCCAAATGCTTGATACCTTTTTAGTTCACCCAAACAGCTAAGATTATTAAAAATTAAAGGAGAAGCGGAAGATACTAAATGGATAGTGTAACTTTATAGTAAAAATAACCAACAACGCCATGACGAAAAAAAAAAACAAACAAAAAAACACGAAAATCAACCAAAAGACAAACATTCTACAAAACACAAATAGAAAATATAAAGTGTTAAAATTAGCTTCTTATGCTTCTACACAAAGAAGTTGTTATCCCCAAAGGAAGACAAATGGTACCAAGGAAATTATAAATGTATGTGATGTATATTGCAAAATATTAAAGCCTTATTTTAGGGTAATGTGTGTAAATCATGTCATAACATCCTAATTTAGTAAGTTCCGAACCAGTGTTCATGATCATATATATATAAATTGTTTTATTTTTCCTTGTAAACCTAACTTGACCAGTACATTATATTACACAAATGTGACAGTAAAATCTATGATTTACTTAGATCAAGCTTAAACACAACCAAAAAGATCACTGACATGAAATTAGATTTTGAAGTTTTGAAAGATATTATCTTTTTTTCTATGCCTAAGCCCAATTACAGATTTACAAGTAAGGAAAAAAAACGCCACCAAAAACTATGATAAAATGCAGTATTTAGATCAAGGCAAGTGGCAATCCTGTCATCAGTGTCATTAAGTGATGCCACAATCAAACAATATAAATACTGGCTCTACCTACGGCGATTAGATACTAATTATGGTCATATATGCAACAGATTTTTCTATACCAAATCAAAAATACGTCAGCAACTATAGAACAAGTTTCCTTATTCACAGTAAGTCAGGACTAGTCACAAGATACGTTAGCCATTGATATCGTACATGTATCATCTAGTAAATTCTCTATATGCATATGTTGCTGAAACATAGAAATTTTAAATTAACAAATTTAAAAGTGCCTATAGGGAAGCAGGATCTGGTTACTCTTCCAGAGCACCTTCTCCATTGGATTGAAGTCGTATTTCGCAGTCTGTTAAGTCGACTTTGTAGCGGTAGATGGATTTTTTCGTATTTTCCTCGTCTTCGTTTTTACTATGGCTTTGCCAGTTTCCAACCTAATGGGTATTTAATGTACCCTGTGTACCCTCTGTTTGTTTTGTTCACACATTATTGTCAATTTAATTGAATTTTATGCGACTGACATACATATGAGAGGTTTATCTGCCTTCCAAACCAGGTTTAATCCACAATTTTCAACATAAGAAAATGCCTGTACCAAGTCAGGAATATGACAGTTGTTTTCCATTCTTTTGATGTGTTTGAGCTTTTGGTTTTGCCAATTGTTAAGGGACTTTCCGTTTTGAATTTTCCATGGAGTTCGGTATTTTTGTTAATTTACTTTTCGCATCTATAAGTAGAGAAAAAATGTATCATACTGTAGCAGATTGGTACATGGATCTTGTCTTTCCCTATGATTTTACCGTACATAGAAATCATCGGTATACGTAAGTTCTTAAAGAAGTTATTGAATTTATAGTATCCATATATAGCATGAAAGGAGGACATTACCATGAAAAAAAAAAGACATCGAAAAAATGAAGTACTTTACCATCTTTATAGAAAAGTAAAGAAAAAACCTATACGAACAACCTTAACATCGTTTAGCTAAGATGATCCTGTTAAACCTTATTAGGTGTTGCTACATGTATAAATGTCACATCGAAACGGAACACGAACTTAATACAGATAAATTGTTTGATAAGATAATATTTTCTTCACAGAAACGCACAGAGAACAGGACCCAGAGGAAAGTTCTTACGTAGAAGTAAATGATTATGCAGACAGGGGAAGTGTTCAAATCGACGAACAGGAAAATAAGTGGTGGATACAAACCATCAAAAGCCATCTCAAACCCTTTCACAAAGATCCTGTGAACAAGAGGAAATACTTACAAGAAAAAGAAATAATTGAAAAAAAATTAATTGATATGCGTAATCAAGTGTGCTTGTTTGTTTACATGCTGAATGCTTTTTTGATAACACTCATATACTCCTTGACACAGGTAGATGTATTCGCAGGTTCTTTATCCATATTTGTGGACTGCAGGGGGAATCAAATTGAGATTGTTCCTATAGCAGTACTCTTCATAGTTGTGTTTGGTTTTCTTCTTTTGATTCAATTTATCTGTATGATTGTTCATAGATTTACTACGCTTGTAAATATTGCTGCCAAAACACAGTTCTTTGTCAGCAAAGTCACTCCAAAGACTGATGATTGACAGCGGATAATAATAATATTTTAGGTATGTTTGGCTTTCTTTTTTTATTCATATTATCTGTATGATTGTTTATAGATGTACTACGCTTGTAAATATTGCAGCCAAGAAACAAATTTTTGTCAACAAAGTAAATCCAACGACTAAAAATGACGGCGGAAAATAATAATATTTTACTTGTTTTTAGTTTTCTTCTTTTGATTCAATTCATCTGTATGATTGTTCATAGATTTACTACCGTAGTAAACATTGCAGCCAAGACACAAATCTTTGACAACAAGTCACTCCAAAGTTGGGGGAGGGGGGCGGGTGGGTGAGGGGTAATTTCATTTCCAAAGAGCATGTGCAAACAACATATTAGGTAACATGTGTTTAAGAAAGATAATATATTCCAATTCTATCTTTACATAAGAAAAGATGTTTTTGCCATGAGTGTTCTTTATATAAACAGAACAACAGCAATACAAAAATAAAAAAGAAAAACCAAAAATAAACGCAAATTTATCTTTAGATCTGAAGGTCGAGTCAACTCAGTTCATGTAAAGACTGCTTGATTCATGCACGTTTACACTAACTAAATACTCTCATATATTATCTTTAAAAAATTTATTGCTCTTACCAAAATGAGAATCAATATTGTGAAAAGTTACTCTTTTTGCGTAATTATATTTGTTTTACAAATATATATCAATATCATTTTATTTATTTGGAGGCGATATGAATAATATTTGGACATAATGAAAAATGCATTTACCTCAATTTGTTGTTTGACTGTATCGTGTAATTGTATGTCTTTTGTCGAATAGATAACAAAAATCTTTACTTCTCAACTCTGAAAGTATATTGTACTGAACACTGTTGAATTGAGATATGGAACATATATCAATGAATAGCAAATATACAAGATTATACGCATGGATTACAACACACAGGAATCGTACTGCAGATGAAGAATGATTTAATATACATATACCATATGTCATATTTTCATAAAGCAGCGTTATATAACATCACAATCCTCACTGGTTGTAGTCATTATGTTGTGTTCTAATGGTGGGTCTAAAATGACCACAAAGACAACGTATCATCGAAACAACATCTGATACAAAGATTTAATCATGCGTTTCAATATGTGGATGATATATTGGCTCTCAATAGTGACGACTTCAGTTTGTACGCTTAAGAGATTTATCCTGCTGAAATGATTTTAAATAAAGCTAATACTAACAATGAACACTGTCCTTTCCTGGATCTTGATATCTTTATCTCATTATCAAAATTTACGATAAAAATGATTTTTCATGTCCTATTGTTAATTATCCATTTTTAGATGGTAACGTTCCATTGGCACCATCTGTTGGTGTTTATATATCCCAACTTGTTCGATTCTCTCGTGTATGTATCAATGTATTTGATTTTAACGAAAGAAATCTCTGTATTACCGGAAAATTATATTACACCAGGGTTTTCGATATCACAAACTTGTCAAAACATTTACTAAATTTTTATCATCGGTACAAAGACATTATTCGTAAATATAAATCATCGTGCAGACATCTTATACGTTCAGGTATTTCACATCCCATCTTTTATGGTAATATTCCATACAAAGCACAAAAATGTCGTAATTCAGTTCAAAGCTAAACATACCTTTAAACCGAGTTATTCCGAAGGGATATAGTTACGATACTGTTGTCAAGTCATTAAAAATGGCATTTATTGGAATTAATATTGATTCACTCATAGGGTCTTTGCGGTTGAATTAAAAACATTTCTTCTAAAACAAGTTGTTGGCATGATGCAGGTTAAGTTCTTGTCGTATATTTTATGATGGTATGATACTTAACCCCTTACGGGAGGAATTGTGCTTGATTTTAATATGATGAAGACATAATCTTTCAATCAGTTTAATTGAGGTCTGCAGCTGGCATGTCAGTAAGTGTTAGTAGTCCTTTGTTTAAGTATGTTCATCATTGTCATTTTGCTTAGTTTCTTCTGTGACCTTATCTGACATCGGACCCGGACTTCTTTTAAACTGAGTTTACAGCGTATTGCTGTGGTTTTTCCCACATTGTCTAGAGTAGAGGGGGAGAGTTGAAATCTCAAAAAACTTTTTAAACCCCGCCGATTAATTTTTGCCCGTCCGAAGTCAGGAACCTCTGGCCTTTGTTAGTCTTGTATGATTTTTTAATATTGGTTCATTTATATGTTTCAGAGTTTAGTGTGGCGTCCTTTTTCGCTGAACTAGTATGTTAACATTTTTAAATTTGCTATTATCTCTCCTTTGATAATCAACAGTTACACACGTAGGTTGTTGCATAAAACATAGATTTTGATATCTATGTTTCCTGTATAACTGCCATCAAGTGCGATCGAGACGAGAGTTTGGAAAGCAAGAGATATAAAATGATATAGGAACAAACCAAAAAGGACCTATAACTTTGGAGCAGCTTACATCGTTTGACGCCAAGTCCAAAGAGAGGTAAAGTATAAGCTGTAGCATAATAAATTGAAAGGAAATAGTTAACGAAGGGCTTAAAAGAGAGGAAAAAGATATCAAAGGGGTATTCAAACTCATAAGTCGAAAACCACTAGACAACGCAAAAAAAAAAAAAAAAAAAAAAAAATGAAAAACGACGAAAAGACAAACAACAGTACACAAAACAAAACAGAGAAAACTAAATATTGAGCAGTACGCTCCTCATTAAACATTGGGAATGATCAGAGGTGCTCCGGAAGGGTAAGCAGAACTGGATACACATATGGAACACGTCGTGTTGATTATATCAGCACAAACCCGGTGATTATTCTAATTCGGTATATCACATTCAAGTACAAAAACGAGGGGATCGTGCTTTTGACAAATTATCAGTCGTAATCTGTGAAACAAATATTCCATGACAGTCGAACAACTCGTGATTGTGTCCATAAAATTTTCTAATTGAAAATTTCAATTTCACCACTAGGGACTTTGGGTTTAATAGTGTCCTTGTAAGCAGCAACCCTCTTTCATGCTAATCAATATCGGACATGGAAATTCTGGAATATTGCATCAGCTGGTAGATATATAATCCATATGCAGGTGCTGCTGGAATATTGCTTCATAGAAATGGAAAGTTCACAAATTGGATGCTAAATACATTCTCATTTGTCAAAAAGTTTTGTTCTTAACCGACCCTCGTTAATAATTTTTAGATGCAAGTCAAAATATGAAGCAGCCTTAACTGTATCTGTTGTTTCCGTTATTTTAAGTTCGATAAGATACTTGCGCTCAACACAGTCACCAACCTTTCAATTAAAAAAATGGGATTTCATGGATTGTTTTTTAAAAACAGGCCTAGGCCAAATTATAACATATTTCAAAACAAAGACGTAATTCAGTACATGTAATAATATTTATACACAATACCGTCTCTTGGGCACACCATGTGCACATCGTAAGTTATGAGTAACGACTCTTTAATTGTGCATGTTTTGTGTTGTAACGTCGGGTTCATCCACCGATTTAAACTGGCCGTCAAGATATAGCAAAAGCTGCTTCAAGTGGCGTTTAAGACAAAAACACAAACAAACAAAACTAAGGCCTGTCTCGTATGTTATATCGTCAATTATTGGAATGGGATATTTATTAATGCATTCTGAATAAAATACATATTCTTTGTCCATACAAGGATCTGACAACACTCTGTTCTTCTTTCTGTTTTGTTTCTGGTGTGTGTCATTACGACAAAATCAGAGTATCCCGAAATGTCGAAAGAAGAAAACAAAAAGGAGCGTTATCAGATCCTTGTAAGCAAAGCATGGACACAGGTTCTGTATATCAATCAGATTGATATTTATGTAATTTGGTATTGACAAATAATCTTTCATATTATCTGGAAAATATATTAACTCATTAATTAGTTCATCTAGAGTGATTTTAAGCTTGATATAAAGAACATACAATTTAGTAAATTGTTGATCCACATTCTGACCTTTTTGTTTAGTGTCGTTGGAATGCTTTCTCATTGACGTATACATGTATACACTACATATCTTTTCATTTTGGATGAAACAGAAACACACATCATGTCATGAGATGCATCTGTTTGTATCGATGATTTCTTAAAACCAACTTGCATGGTGTTAAGAACGTATCTTTAATATTGTATGTTACACTGCTTCAAATCTTACACAAAGACTGTTCAAACAGAGTTATGAGGAAGATCAACTGAAATCGACACTATATAAGACTAACAGTCACGGTAAATTGCTCGACCAATAAGATGAGTCGTTCACTCAACCCACTACAAGCCTTTGTTTGCAGTCTTAGATATTTAGATACAAATACATTTGACTGATCTGTTATTTATCGATTGTGGACTATTCGCGATTATGACATTATGACTAATTGTGAATTCGCATGGCGGAAGAGGCATGCATTTAAGGAGATGCCTACTCAGTTGACGCATCCTTTTTTCTCTTTTTGGAGTTTATGCCATTCCCTCAAGTTTTGTTTGTTACTTTGATTTGTCTCCTCACTATCGATTTTTGAGAACACAAAACTACTGCTGCCTTAAGTGTTCACTACTTGATTATCAAATGAGATATTTTCAACTTCAAATTGAATTATTGATTGCTGCTGGTAAAAGTCTAGTGCATGCATAAACAAGACCATATCAAATTAAATTATCATTCAATATAGAAGGATGGCTCTGCAAGGTAGGTTATCCTTGATGAAGTGGTGGAATTGACCACTACTGGGAAATGTATGTATGCAAGACAGGAAGAATTATTTTGCAACCCGTGCAACGGGCGACATGCAGAGAAAGATTTTTTGCAAAAGATCCTTGACCTGCACAGAAAACAAATGTCAACCTACACGAGGCATTGGATTATGCTTTGGAAAGGACGTTGCTGCGTACTTAAAGGGCGATTATGCACAACTGTAGCAGATTTATGTCTCTTACAGCCGGTAAAGAAGTCGACTCGAGATGTAAGGATTAAATCAATTACATCTATAAGATATTTCTGTAATTGTGTATTTTCAGATACTCTAGCTATACTGATAATGCAATTGATAAATAGGTAATCATATAGTTATTTTTTTATGAGCGAGGCGTTAACGTTTAACTATGATTAAAACTGGATGTGAGATATACGTCAATTAAACAGTGAATCAACGACAAAAGTAAAAAAAAA